TCACGAAGAACATTCGTTTTAGGAAATGAAAAGGAAAGAACACAGAGTGATTACTACAAGCATGTTGAAGAAGCTGAAAAATGTACAACACGTCGTTCAGTAAGTGGTATATTTGGTTATTCTATATATGAACCTATATTTTCACAACGAATTTTAACATCAATTAAACACGATTATATGCATTCGTCCTTGCTAGGCCAAGGAAAAAAAATATTAATGAGTATTGATTTAGATGTTAGGCAAACCAATATTATTGATACAACTTTACTAAATCTGACACTGCCAGATGAATTCCATCGTCGTCCGCGTTCGATTCAACGTTGTAGTTCATGGAAAGCTCAAGAGTATCGTACTGTTATTTTGTATTTATGCCCGGTTATTCTACGTGATGTTCTCTCTGCTGATCATTATGGACATGTTCTGTTATTTGTGTGTGTTATCAGACTGTTACATTGTGACTATATTATTTATAAGCAAGGTGAACTAGCGGATATTTTATTGAAGACTTATGAAAATACAATTGGTGATTATTATGGTAAAAAATTATCAACCCTCGTGTTACATGTTCATCGACATTTTCCAAAAGAATTTTCGCTACATGGTTCATCTAGTTCAACATCATGTTTTCCACTAGAGAGAAGAATTCGTTTTTTTCAAAGAGACGCACATGGTACGCCTAAAAAAAGACGTGGCATGCATATATGAGACCGGCTCGAGTCTGAATCAAACGACCACCATCTCCGATTCGATCTCTGATGCAAGCAAAAACATTCGACGGGGAGGATAGGTCTTAGGAGCTCCTAGTGTTTAATAAACTATCCTGGAAAAGGATGTTATTTGTGACATTTTTAGCGAAAAACTCAGAAAAGATGAATTTTGTGCGCCGAGCTTTGTGCCACTACCACTGGAGAGGATTCAAAAAGATGTCTGTACTTGTCGGAGATAGGAGTGGTAATGCTAATGGATATCTCTATGTAATAAATGTTAGGAATTTCGGTAGTTTCTCAGTAATTGGCAAAATTTGCTCGAAATTACCGAAATTTCTATAAATTCTCCTATTGTCGAAGATACGGGTCCCAATTCTAATGGGTATCTCTGTCTTATAAATAAAAGATATTTCAGTAGTTTCTCTATACCATTACCAAAACTACGTGGAAATTGCTGAAATTTCTGAAAAGTAGTAAGTGTTAGTAGTAAGTGCTTATTAATTAGCTTTGAAAATGTTTGCAGTTTAGGAAATTACTGATAGATTTTCTTTTTCGTTAGTGGGTAATTACCGAAATTTCTAGGAAATTTGGTTTAGAGGTATTAGTGAAATTTGGTAATTTCTTGCAATTTTCTGTATTTGGTTTAAGGATGAATGTGTATTGTGAATAGTAAATTATGGTAATTTCGGAAATTTTTTTTTTCGTAAATTTAAACATATTTCACATTTTTCGAGCATTACTGTTAAACATGACCTTGGGGACGATTTTGGACGACAGAGTTATAGGCTATTTAACATTAGAAATATAAACTCATTCGCTTTATTGCCGAGTTTTCGATCTGTATCGTATTTTCTATGGCACTTTGGTACAACATCGTAGAAACGTGCCCAATATCTCATTTTGCGGAGAATCGAAGGGTCTATCCAATGATGTAGCTGGAAAACGTCTGAAAACATTTTAAGGTTACTGGGTTTTCTAGAAAATCGAGTTTTTCAGAAATCGCTATCTCAAGGCCCCGAAGCCTGGCATAACGTTTCTTCATTGAAATATATAGAACTCGACGCACTCCTTCATTTGATACCAGCGTCAAGGTTCTACGTTAGGTAATGTGGTCAGACGTTCTACAAGTTAGACCAAATCCGCTAGAAAATGCGTTTGCCGCTGCGAGAGTAAAGTGACTATAAGTTTTTTTCTAACAAGGCTAGAGGCTTGCGGTTTTCCCCATTCGGTTCAGCTTGCTGAGCTCTGTAATATGGGATAGGTCTCATCACTAACATCAAAGGTCGATGAAAGTGGTGGTAGGTTTCAGATGGATCGAGCGTATCCGTCGATGCAGAAAACGTCACTTTCCAGTAGTAATATGCGAAAAAGTGAGTGTTCGCACTTTCAACTGGAAATGAATTACCCACCATTTTGTAGAGTTTTGAAAGAGCTTTCTTTCTATATATAATGTAGACGCAACCTGAGTTCTTCCTTGGTGAAAAAGTTGAAATCCTATCGTGGACCATGCTGAAAAGGTCATTTTTAACAGCAATATTTTTGTTAACACAACAACTATTTAGACATACACAGAGGTTTAATTTGGGCGTTATAAGAGATGAACACTTGATGAAAATATAAAATTTGTTCTCTTCTTATTTTGTTCTTTAAATGTAAAAACAAATTAATTTCTCTTATAGGAAAATCTAAATAGTAATAGTACAATAGAGCGGCAGAAAGGCAGAGAGAACGACAAGAATTTTGAAATGTCTGCTCTCATTGAGAGCTGAGAAGAGTACAAAGTACAACGTTTCATTTTGGCTAGCTTCCTGTTGATGAACACTACTTCAGGTGCTTAAAAACTGGAGATCTATACAGAGCTTTTTTCAATTCTCAACGACTGCAGCTAGTATATTCATATTCGGAATCAGCACGAAATTTTCCACAAGCTAGGATTGTTTGATCATTGTTACTAGTGGTGATGAGGATAGATGCAGAGCGTACTGGACAGTTCAAAATCAGTTTCACGACAGATTCAAACATTCGTTTCAATTGTGACACAAAATTTTCTTTATTAAAAGTCGGTTGAAGGTAACAAGTCTTCGTGGAGAAGTGAAAACTAACAACTCAAACCAAACTTTTTTCCTTCAGGAAACAGTCAAGCGAGTGTAAACGAAGCGCTACTTGTATCGTTTGGACTAAAATTATAAATCATAAAAGCGAAGTTCAGATTGAGAAGTTGTTTGAATCACAAGACATCTATCATTGATTAAAGCCGCAGAGTTGATTTCTTTGTTGTACGGAATCGTTTCCTTTAGTTGTCCATTTAAACCAATAAAATATAAGTACGACTCCCCTGTTACCAAAAATTGTTGATTGATTGATGTATACAGAAGCTGACAGCCAGTGTAGCAGGGAAGTTGAAGTACTTGCAGTACAGTCATATCATTTGGAGTACGTACTTCAAATTCATTGTGGATGTGACAAGAGCTAGACAAGGTGTAAGGCCTTTTTAGCAATCGTACCAAACCGAAACACATAGCTAATCCGAAGTGAAACAGCTTCTTTAACTATAAAGTTACCGAAAATAAATCAGAAAGACTTTTCTGGCATTTTTTTAAAATAAGCACAAAAATCATAAAAATCAAATCTTTTTGATCCACATACGATAGAAATGCGGAGAAGAAACTTCTCCATATACGAAGAAATTCCTCAATAACGATATAGACATGACTAAATAGCGCAGCTGAATTTCTAATGAAACTGAATTTTGTGAAACCTTTCATACAGTATCGAACTGTACGCCTTCGACTCGGTACGGTTGTGAAACATAACCCTGCCTAGATCTCGTATTCTAACCTGTTTTTTGTAAACATAATGACACCGAGATATGCACCATCGCTTGTGTATTGCATATTACTAATAAATTGATTTTCTGCACAAGAAATGGTTCGATTTAATTGCCAATTAGACATCGCATATTCTTCAATAAATGATGGATATCCTTTGGTAGATAGAAGGAATGTTTTCTGATAACATGCACAACAACTACTTTGTTTTCTACTAAAATCTTTAATTAGTTTCAATCGTTGTTGAGTATGACTACCACCATTTATATCTGTTGAGTAAAGTCCGTAATCAGGATGCCACGATAGGAAAAGAAATTCATTTAAATATGACGACCAACATAGTTCTTGAACGTGGCTAATATTGGGCTGGATCTTTGGAAATTTTTCATTTCCTCGTTGGTCGACTACAAAGTAATTCCGTTCTTGGCAATAAAGTAAATACTTATCGTTCGCAGCAATTCTGTGTGAAAGATGTAAACTATCTTTTTTCTGGATAGTCAATCTTGGTTTCTTTTTCAAAACATTCAAATTCAATGCTGCCTTAGGCTCACTCGTCGTTGCTTTCGAGCTTTTGCCTCCGAAATATGTTTTTAACTGGTTAAACGCATCAGTCAATGTTTCAACTACGTATGGCTTGCTGTGCGTCGATGAAATCGTGGCTTCAAATGGATGTTTAATAAGAGCAACAGGCGGTTGAATTTGTTTGTGTGAATAATACGTAGATCAGAACCTTGTTTCATATCACCTTTGACTTCAAAATAGCTACATGGCAGAAGAAGTATCTCACTTTCGTTTGGAAATTGTGAATGGTTCTGTATCATTTTGCCGTTGAAGCATTGTATGTTGAACAAAGTTCTCTGTCCGCTTTCACCAAGAAATATTTCTTTTTGTAAAACGTTTAGTGACGATGTGCAACTGGAGAAACCCCACCAAGCGAACTGCTTTCCTTGTGGATATTGATCAGTAAGATTTCCTTTCATACCACGCCACACTGTATCTTGGACATCTGGTAACTTCCATAGAGCAGTTAAAAATAACTTCAAATATGAAAAGTAAGGAATAAGTGTTTGTCGATCTTCACTCCTGAGCGCAGCGTTCAGTTGACGATACAAGCATTCCATTGTATAGAGATAAATTGCAGCACGTTCATTTGGCAGAAGCCCGTCTTTTTCTTGTGGACTGTTGCCCGTTGCGGTCCAAACAAAGCCTTGTATATTAGATATTAGAGATTCCAAAGGACGGACGGCTTCTTCGAGAGAGACAAGTGGTTTTAATTCATAACCTTGTATGGGTGAGAGACGTTGTTGTGGCTCATAGTTGACGTCTAGAAAACGTTCAGTTGGTATGTAGCCGCCTTGTGCCATCTAACTGTTGATTTAAAGAACGTAGAAATGTGAGAAGAGAAAAGAAAAAATGTGATTATCGTTTCTAAGTTAAAGGAAAGTGAAACAAAGAAAAAAAATGCTCTTAACAATCAATCGAAAAACAAGAAATAAGACGACAACATTTCTTCATACTGTTGTATACTACATTTCATAAAGTGTACACACAGAGAGAAAGAAAGAGAAGCATTTTCTATGGTTTTACTTTTTTTTTAATCATTGAATTCGGCTCGGTATTTTTTTAATAATTTCATTTTAATGTTTTTTAGAATCAATAAGAAAAAATATCTTTCAGGGGAACCATACACCCATTTTCTATATTTCGCTTCTTCCAACCAAAAAACAATAGAAAAAGAAGTTGTTTGTACTGTTGAGTAATCAAGGCGACTTAAATGAATGTAGTTCAGCAATCTAAAAAAGACCCCTTCCTTCAGCCCGATTTCGTTTACCGACGTCTAAAAACTGTCAGTAAGTAGTTATTGCCACTTCCCGACGTAGCAGCACTTAGCTATTACCATGTCCAATACAAAGTATCAATAAGGACCTACTGCCACTTCCTAGCTGAAAAATGTTACCATAGCCGATGTGGGAGCAGGCAGCATTGGCAACTTCCTATATACGATCTTACAAGATCATACGCTTGATCATTTCCTGTCGAATCCTCTGTACCTCTGCATTTTTCTTTTTCTAATATAATTTCTAACATTTGACCCTAGACAGCCACAGGACCGTCTTTTGCCACGTTTCTTAATCATGCACTTCGTATGTGCTCAATTGACGTGTGAAGTTCAAAAGAGAAAAGAGTTTGAAGCTTTTCAAAGAGAATGATGTTATATATATACTGTATTACGTCGTAAAATTTATATGGTAGAGATGAGTCATCGATCTTGTAAGATCTTATGACAAGAATTCATACGATCTTGTAAGATCTTATGACAAGAATTCATACGATCTTGTAAGATCTTATATAGTCTTGTGACAAAAAAATATATAAAAGTCAACAATGTCTGGTACAAGATTTTGTAAGATGTTACATGATCATATGAATTCTTGCCATAAGGTCTTACAAGATCTTGTCACTTCTCATAACCAGATCTTGGGGGATCTTATAACAAGAAGTTGCAAGATTCCATAAGATCTTATATTATCTTATAATAAGGTCTTGTATGATCATATCGTAAGACTTTATTACAAGATTTCACAAGAAAGCATCAGATCTTGCAAGATCTTACAAGACGTGTTTCACCTGGGCACGTTCGACAGTGATCCGGTAGAAGACACATTCGTTCACATTGTGCTTTAGTTAATCTATTTTCTCACTGGTTACTTCCTTCAAAAGCTTCAATTTCATTCAATTTGCCTTTAGTCCAGATCAGGCATGCAACCATCCCAAGCTAAAGCTCGCTGATCGGCAGCGAACGTGTTCGGTTGCGAACCAGTTCGGTCACCGAACTATCGTTTGGTGCATGCCTAATTTCGGACCTTGAGAAAAATCCATTTTTCGTTCTATGGCTTTGAGAGTTAGTTTTCTAGATTCAGTTTTCAATTCTGAATCCGAGAAACCTAACCTCAAAGCTCGAAACCCAAAACCGGACGTACAATGCACAATATCAGTGCGAACTCAAATATAGTAGTCGTATTTTAAATTCGCAGCGAATTACAGTACAAGTGATTCTGGTAAAAATAGTACCGTTCGACTGACGTAAATGGACCTAGGCGTTTCTTCTCTTAGACTAGATAAAACAATTTCGCATTTCTCGCATATACTCGTCAATGTTAGACCTATAATCGCTACAAATATAGCTTTTCTATCTTTAACTATTAACGAGTTAGAAGCAAAATATCTGTATCTAACCGTTATTTTGCTGTTGACTTTCTTGTGGTTAATATGAGTCAGCTTTTGTAAATGTTATTTTTCTCTGTTACTTTGTACGGAATAATATATTTTTTCTCTCTGTTGTCTAGAATTTTCTTCGCTCTATTCAGCTACACCATTATTTTGTTCCCAGTATTTTGGGTTTTTTCTCAAATTTGTTCAGAATTCATGGTTCCAAAATCCAACTTCTTTTTGTCTCGTAACCACAGAGTTTTGGATAGCCCTGATAAGTTATTTGGTATTCATTTTTCTTATGCCAAAAGTTGCCTAAATATGTAAAATAAATAACAGCGGAAACTGGATGTTTCTGTAACTTTTCGCTGTCCTGCAATTCACGCCTTACTAATGCTCGGTGAGGTGTGATCAACAATTTGTCCCGTAACCACCCACTACAGCACGCCTCAGCCGAACATTTTATTTTATTTTATTTTTGATAATGATACAGAAGAGCGGTACTCTGTTCCCTGATCTGTTGTTTAATGTGTGTTTCAACTGTTTTAGGCTGGGTTATTATCCAGCCAGATGGAAAACAGCTAAGATTGTACCAGTGGCAAAGAAAAGAAAGAAATTCATACATTCTCCTGAGAACTACCGAGCCATATGTCTGTTAGATATCTTCGGCAAGGTGCTAGAAAAAATCATCATGGAAATGTTGACTAAAGAATGCCACTGCAAAAAAATATTCCATCCACAACAATTTGGCTTCAGACGTGGTGTAAGGGCAGAGGATGCCCATCTATATCTCATATATAAAACTCAACAAGCAGAAAAGAAAGGTCTCATTACCACCGCAACATTTGTGGACATCAGGAAAGCTTTGGACTCAGTGAATTGAGAGTTGCTAATTCGGAAAATGCATCAGTTGAAAATTAGCACAAATATAATTGATATCGTTAATGACTTCTGCGTGAAACGAACAGCCTTTGTTAGTCTGAATGGTCATACCAGTTTGATACAGAAAATTGATTATGGGATTCCACAAGTATCAGCCCTGTCACCTGTGCTGTTCAATCTTTATATTCGATCAGTATTAGATGAAGCAAAAAACAAACATATTGATATTATTCTATATGTTGACGATACTACAATTATTACATCGAGTACAAAAGCCAAAATCAACACCAGATGAATAAAATCCTATTTAAAAAATTTAGTAGTGATTTTAGAGAAGATAAATTTGGGGTTTCAGGTGGATAAAGCGGAAATGATCCACATTCAATCAAACACGAAAAATAAATCATTGACAAATTCTATGACATTAAACAGGTATACAATTGTGCCCTCAAGAAAAGTAAAATATTTAAGATTGATTATAGATGAATTTCTGACATTTAAACCACATATACAACAAATAGCTAAGAATGGCACACGATACTTGGCATATTTGAGAAATATCCTTCGGAAAAATGGAATGTTAAATGTTAATATGATGTTACAATTGTATCGAACAATGATCATACCGAGAACAGATTTATCAGCTTGTGTGTGGGCGAATGTTACAAAAGCGGCATTAAAACCACTGATGAAACTACAAAAGCTGACATTGACAACAGCACTTGGAACCTCCAGGAAGACTGTAGCACTCTCATCTCTAGAAGTATTCTGTAATTTGTTACCTGTATATTTTAGGCTGATGAGGAGACAGATGATTAAAGCAATAACTCTACACTCACGACTTCTGTATCATCCCTTGTCAGCCTTATTTGAAAAATCAGAAAAGGGAACAATATTCGCAAAATTAAAGGAAATCATATCAATAGTCAGTAGCGATAATAATCCCATGAGTGAACTGATAAAACATTCAGAAATGCATGTCCTATTTGAACCATGTGCTACGGCAGCTGATGTGATAATCTCAAATGATGAGCTAGCATTGAATGAGGAACAAGAATTGCTAGAAAAAATTGATAACACAACTATGCTTTTGATCTATATCGATGCCTCTAAACAACATGATGGAGTAGCAGCAGCCGTGACAATAATGACAAAAGCTGGTGATGAGTCTAGATGGGAGGATTATGGCATGTATTTAGGACAAAAATACTCCGTGTATCATGGCGAGCTGTTAGCGATACAACTAGCTCTAAAAATTGTAGCAGATATATCACCGTCATCAAAACAAATTACCCTTTTCACGGATAACCAGTCTACATTAAAAGCCATAGCATCTAACAGGCAGACAAGTCCATTGATTCAAGATATTCGAAAAACATACGAGATATTAAAAGAAAAAGACAGCAGTATGATATTTAGATGGATACCGGGACACTTATCGTCAGTTGGCAACAACAGAGCGGACTTCATTGTTAAACAAATAGTTCTCACTCAGAAATCTATTAACATTGATCATCCGATTAATACCAATAAGCCAAAGTATACCAACATGGAGATTAGTAGTGAAATATATAAATGTATCAAAAACCAATGGAAAGAGGTGTAGAAAGACGAGTCGACTGCAAGATTGTATTACCAAACAAATCCAGATATTGAAAACATACGGCCAATAGAAAAAGACAGACCCTTCTGTTTTGATTCCTTCTCAATGACTTGTCGATAAATGCAACTTCATTTCTGAAAGGAAAGACAGACAGCTCATTTTGTAAGCATTGCAACATCCAACTGGAAACACGACGGCATTTGTTGTTAGACTGCATGTTTTATGAACCATTGGGAACAGAGTTATATCATGGTATGGCTTACACAACTAGCCATTTCAATGAAGTGATTAAAAAAGAAAAACTGTACAATACAATAAGTGTTTTCTTGATACATACAAATAGATTCTAATATAGACACTTGAAAAAATACGTGACTCACATAGACCGCAATGCGAATATGCGAAGCGGCTTAAAACCAAACAAACACACCGAACATGATAAAAGCTTTCTTTTATTATCATAAGTGTAGTCTAACCACATGATGATCCTCTGAAAAGGACAAAGACTGAAATTGCTTTATAAGGGAATAAACTAGAAAATACTAAAAAATGTCCCGTAACCACCTTTCACCCCTGGTTTTCAGAAAACTAGCAATACTGGAAGTTTTATGAATCATTTCTGAGTATGCCGGTAGATAGAGCACACTTTGTAGTCTATAATTATGTACTTTTAGAGTAGTCCCAGTTATTTATACATGAAAATCAACAGAGAAGATACAATCTCCTTGCATTCAAAATCCACAGTATTTTGAAAATCCAGGACACAGAGTAGTGGTAGCTTGCAAACTTGCTTTTTCTGGTACTATTAGGTACCCACTATCGATATATGACATTCAATTGTCCAAGCCTTTGCTTTTACTTTTGGTCAAAAATTATACAATATGTCAATGCAATTGATCATATTTATGTACTTGACAGCAAAAGTGACAAACATTCAGCGGAGCCGAACTCGAAAGTAAAATTAAGATTTACGTCTGTAAACGATTTTTTATCGAAATTGGTAGATCAGCTGACAAATGAATATCGAGAAAAAGCGGAGTTCCTCGACAGGCACGGTGAAATTAGTTTAGCAAATGAAAAGCCTGATATAGGACGAAAAATATAGAGAGGAGAAAAGTTGAAGTTTTATATACTCGAGATCAAGTGATTTTTGGTGTTTTTTTTTAACCGTCCTTCCCATAATAGGTCTATATATTCATCTAATAGAATGTTATTAGATGAATATATAGGTTGATCCTATAATAGTTAAGAAGAATATTATCCGTACAAAAATTGTTGTAATGTAGTTGAAAAAACTTGATAGTAGATACTTCATGCACTGTGTTTCATATTTGAATCAATTCATTAATATCAATTAGTAAAAATCAAGCATAAAAATCGAGTTCACTTATTGTCTAATCATGATAACAACAAAACATACATCATGCAGGAGATAAATGAAATGTTAGAAACAAGAACTGCTAGTAATCGGAGAATCATTCAGCATTCCCACAAAAACGAACAATAATTGGTAAGAAAAAAGAATTCATCAAATGCCACGAAGTGCCATCGCAAATGGATTATAACAAATTTTTGCATGTGTAACCTAAAAATAAAAAGAACTTTAATAAAATTATTTACAATAAATATTATTTTATACATCAGGATTTTTGTAAGATGTTACAGCCATAAAAACAGTTTCATCAAATGTAAATGTATTGTATTTAGCGCTTGTTATCGAACCAATATCAGACGTCTCAACAATATGCAAACTTATCTGATAAGGATGCATCGAATTAAGAATAATCTAAAAATGAGAAAATGGGCTTTTACAGATAAATATAATGCATGTGCTCAATAGATTTACATGTTCTCGACTGTGATTTGTAATTTTTACTTTATTGAATTGAACACAATCTTTCATCCATTGTAATCCCATTTGTACCCCATTGGAATGAACATAATATCTAAAATTCCAAAAAAAGAATCTCTACATGATTATTTTGTCATCTTTATAGATGAGTGCGGTTCACCTTTTAAATGAGTGCGGCATCGCTTTTCCTGCAATATGCCATTTTGAATCTTCATATATGTATTGATTATCGCCGACTGGTACAATATCTAACAATAACATATAATTGATATTTGGTTCAAGACCGGTTATAGTAACTGCAAATGTCGGAAACAATCTTCTAAAAAGTTTAAAACAATAACACAAGATGATAATCCCAACTGACTATTAGTCTTGCATCACATTCAATTCTAATAGGCGTGTTACATCAGGAAGCTATCTTCGGAACTTCCAGACCACACTCAATGAAACTCAGTGTTTAGAGGTTTCATAAGGTTCTCTTTCTTTTCTTCTTTAGAAAGTTTTCTTCAAAACCCTAGGAAGTTCAAACGTGGGTGGATAGAGAATTAAAAACTGAACACACGTAGGGCTTTGACAATATTTCTGTATTATCTTGGTTGCCATGGTTTTTTTCTAAATTAGAGGGGAAAAGTCCAGAATTCTGCTAGTATTTCTTAATTTTCTTCAACAGAACTCAACTTCTAGGTAATAAAAATATCATATTCGGAATTGAGATCAAAAAGCGAATCAACGGATATGTACCTCTATCCTATTACTTTAAATTTAAATATCCGAGTACTTTAAATTTTTTCAAATTTGCACGTTGAAAATCATCGAGGTTTTCACCAAAAAAATGAAAATCAAGTAAAAATTTCGAAATACATATCCGTCGATTCGCTTTTTGATCTCAATTCCGAATATGATATTTTTATTACCTAGAAGTTGAGTTCTGTTGAAGAAAATTAAGAAATACTAGCAGAATTCTGGACTTTTCCCCTCTAATTTTAGAAAAAATCCAGGGCAACCAAGGTAATACAGAAACATTGTCAAAGCCCTACGTGTGTTCTGTTTTTAATTCTCTATCCAACCACGTTTGAACTGAGCCTCCATCTCTTAGCTGAGCTGAGCTACATTCACTTTGATGTAGTTGAATTTTTTAAATTTTAAATTAAATTAAAAAACTGAAATTTTGAGTTGAAGCCTTAGTTAGTTTTCAAAACGTTCGCCTTTCGACACTGAATCCGAATATGTTATTTAAAATGTTCCATATCCTAACGGGTGAGTTTCAAAATACTTTTAATTCAATTACTACAGCTGAGAAATCACGGTTTTCTGGAACGATTCCTACTTCCTAGGGTTTTGAAGAAAACTTTCTAAAGAAGAAAAGAAAGAGAACCTTATGAAACCTCTAAACACTGAGTTTCATTGAGTGTGGTCTGGAAGTTCCGACGATAGCCTAGACCAATTTTCTCGTGTAACACACCTATTGATTTCACTGTTAATTAGCTGAAAGCAAGATCTACGGAAATACTTGATCATAAAGTGAAAAAACTAATGATTCAAATTGTTATCAAACGTTTTATAGTTTAAACGAGACCTAACTGATGATTGTCATAGAATTTCTAAAATATTACCTTCCAGTTCTAGTAATTATCATTTCAGTTTCTAACACTTTAAAAATGTTCCATAAGTCAATTTCTTCTAATCTAACTTCAATTTTTGAATTTATTTCTTGTCGTTTTATATTTGATGCTAAAGTAAACATTTTAAAATAAAATGATATATATCCATGGTTAGTTACTTGAATTTTTCTTTTCTACTAAATACAAGCAACGCTTTGAGTTTTATCAGCTATCAGTGGTACGGACCACTATTGTGTGCTAAGACATTCTAATCATTTTAAGTCAGGGATCGGCACAGATCGCACCAACTTTTCTGAAGTTTGTCTACGAGCCGGGCTGATGAAAAATGATCCGGGAGCCACCTGTTTTAAACTACATGATGTGAGGTTAAAATAAGTGAAAACATACGAAATAATTGAAATAATCCATCTGAATTGAATTTTTCTAAGCGCTGGACATCTGAATCAACAATAAACTCGTCAACAGTGTAATGATCAGTGAAGATTAGAGGTTTTAAATGAGGCAGTGTTGATATCATATTAAATAGATTTTTAATGGAGAAAGAACCACTGGATGCAAAGAATACAATTGATAAATGTTTTAATGACACTAATTGATCAATTTTAATACTTTTCAGTGAATATTCAGAAATATTTTTTAATGTCAATGATGATAAACGAGGAAACATTTGTAGTTGGTAATAAATTAAAAATGTTCCAATATCATCTCTCTCTTTTACACGTTCTATTTTCAATGATACAAGTTGATCTTTGATTAATGGTATCACATTTTCACAATAGAATAAAAATTTTGATAATGACTTGTCAAATAGTTTACAGTGAAACTTCGACTTTGACAGAATTAATTTATAAAATCGTTTATTTATATCGCCAAATGAGTTGAAAATATCATAGGTATCCATGTAATCAAACACATCGTAAAATACTTCATTGGCAAAATCTTCAAACTGAGTGGACATACTTCGTTGAATCTAGAAATATAGAAAAACATTATCAGTCAGAAAACTAACTTTGACAAATGGACAGTTACAATTAAATGCGAGGATGGATACCCTGTTGTGTGATCCCCAGTAGCAGTGTAGGTTGTTGATAAGTTTCTTCCAAAGACTTATCAGTTCTAGAATAGCCCAATATTGCTTCTGTAGTCAGGGTCTATCTTAACAATAAATCGCTGGTTGAGAAAGCTATAAGGATCCATGGGATCTTTTTTCCTATTTATTGCGTTATAATGTGTTAGGCATATCGTAATGCCTTGTAATGCTTTAGATTTTCTATTGTGTTACAACACGATAACTTTAGAAAAACATATAACGCATTAGCGTAATGCAGAAAACTCTGTCAAAAAATTGAAATTATCATGCTATAATGCATTTGCCAATGACTTTTCCATATTTTGTAATGTTACTGTGACGGATAGAGATGTCGACCAGGTAGCTCAGTGATTACCTATTGAACAATTTTGAGACTTTATTGTACATTAAATAAAATTAAAAAATGATACACATGATAATAGATTAAAATTGTTATGCATTATAATGCATAAAAGCATAAAAAACTACGTAAAACGTACGAAAAAATAGAACATTATAATTTATTAAAGACGATATCTGTTATGCTAAGCCGATATTATCCGTTGTTTATACATTAAAGGTCATTAATTTATGAAAAACATTTTTCTAATCCATTACCATACTTCAAACCCGCATCAAGTCTCAAATAGGGGCTCATACCACCATCCGCTCTTTAGTAGCGTATGAATGTGTCACAACGCGTAAAAGATCGGACAAGGTCAAAAATCTGTTTTTCTAAGTCGATGAATGATGACTCATCCGGGTGAATCATCGCACCTCATGAGTCACCGCTCTCATTAAAGCAAGGTAAATGGCTATGTGCCTTTAATCACTGATAATGCAGTAAAAAATTTTCATTTCGTACGTTAAAGCTACTGAACTCATTATAATCTGTTAAACTATAGCTTAACATAATTTAAGGGTTTATAACAGAATCATCGACGGTAATCGATGATAATCTGTTAAAATCAAATCTTTTAAACGACTATCACTCGTACTTTTGCTACTCTTCGATTAATATACGTTATTTTGATTAACGTAAGGTAATGCGTTACATTTTTGAGGAATTACAAAGCATTAATACGTTTTTTGTATTTAATAATGTATATCACCACATTATATAGCCTCAACGCGTTAGCACATATTAAAAACATAAACGAGTGCTACTGCGTTGAAATTAAAATTTGCATAAAAACATATATGTTACCCGCCACTCACATCTCTCGATTAGGGGTATGATAGTTTCATATCAACTTCTATCATAGGAACTGTTGAAAAGTTCTTTTGAAAAGAGCTGATATGTTTGAACAGCTCTTTTGAAAGGAGCTGATATGTTCGAGCAGCTCACTAGTCGTCTAGACAAAGTTTAAACGTCCCGAATGTTCATTAGACGTTCATATCAGCGAAGTCTTGCAATC